CAAAAGCTTTTCTACTTGATTTTTGCATCAGCGGTACCTTAAATGATTTTCTTGATAAACTTACATTATCCGATTGAAGTGAAATATCAACAAGAGATGTTTCTTTAGAATACATTGATAGTGTATCTTGCCAAGTAACAGAGTAGGGTGATTGCTTCATTTTTGAAGTGCTGAAATCAAGGATTTAAGATGAGTATAATAGATCATGAAGAATACTGGCAATTTTATTTTATTTATACATTGCTTCTGTCAATGGATAATTGCTACTATTATCATCATCACCGTCATCATGGTTTTCCATTCGTGGTATAATTTTAGGTATACTATCGTCTTCAATGGCGATATCCTCTGTAAGACCTAAAGAGAACACAAGATCACGTTTTATTCTGAAATATTATATTTATCACATGTTCACCTTCATTAACAATAGGACAAGAGTCATCGAATATAAATCGTTTACTAAAAACAAAGAGAAGTTTTTGCATGTTTTCTGAAAACTACGTCTTTACCTGATGATAGAGTCCTTTGCATTAGATAGAATATCATCTTAAAAAAATATGGGTGTATAGAATTACTTTCTCTAGAGAAATTAAGCCTATACCTTCTTTTGCATTGACTAGCAATTCTTTAGCTCTTATTTGAACATTTCCTCTACTAGATATAAAGAATAATCTATATATTGATAGTTTTCAAAAACATAGAGAATATACTTTCCTTACCTATCAATATAATATTTTCCGTCATCATTTTCCATTAACATACCAGACAACGTATCCTTTTTATGCTTGTCGTATACTAACCAAAACTCAGCATCCTTTCAATTAAATTATGATACATGTGTTGTATATGCATTCTGATTTGGTGTTCTATTGTAAACAGCAATACGTACTTTTAAAAATCTTATTCGCTGTTGATATATTTGAATTTTATTTCTTAGAGCATCTTTAAATTTTTTTATTTTTTCATTTTCATTTAATAATGATTCTTTAACTATTTGTAACTGATTTTGATCATCTTGTTTCTCTTTTTCTTCGTAATAGGTGATAATTATTTCTAAAATAATGGAACGTTAAGGAACAACAGAAACTGTTGTTATTTTATAAATATTATCTACTTCGTTGTTTTTTTCGAGCATTGCCAAGTAAATATTTTGCTTTTGAAAATTTAGTTGTATATTCTTCTAGAAGATGTCGCCGTGTATACTCATTATCAAGACCAGATAATGGAATGTTGAGTTTATTTATAATAGATTGGAATTGATCTTCTTTATGTGATAGCTAAATATAAAACACAAAAACTTTAAGCAAACATTTAAAAAAGTAATTTTTTTGATCGATGGAAAGCTGAATGTGATTTTAACCAATTTGTAAAACAAAATTTCAGAATATATATCGTTTCTTTTTCTTTACATTTAAGAAAAAAACAATGACATCTTTATAGGGCGTTTGTTGTATCAACATGAAATTAAAAAAAGGGATCGAGACAGACTTTAGACTCCCAAAGAATTGATAAATATGGAGTATCGATTTTTATAAAAAAAACTTCACAATTCGATCATTTTTCATTGTGCAAAAATCACCATTAATTCTAATGACGATTTTGAATTTGACTTTCGATCTTTCTCATAGTTATTGGAAAATTTATCACCGCTTCCATTTCTGTTGTTCATTCTTATATTAGTTTG